AAGGCTGTTTTTTGGCGTGTCTACATTTTACATTTGCGTTCTGCCGCATTCCATTTGATCTTCACGCTTTCTACATAGCATCTTACACGGAGCACTATGATATGCAAATGTAGGATATCACGTGACTTATTAACATATACGGAAACGAGGTCGAGATCAACCATGCACATTATAGGCCAGCACACGATAAGAAATTTACTTACCTTGAAAAAACGACCAAATTTGGATGGTACTAAACTATATTACCATGATTACGGATAGGGGGAGGGTAGGCAATGGCAAAATACGGGTCATAATACGATATTCACGATATCATGTTACATGTCAGTGAAAAGCACGTTCATGTATACTCTTTTCTCTCTTTAAGTAGCCTACATGTATATTCACTATTTGTTGAGCACAATGATTATACTTTTTTAAAAAAAAATGGATTAAAGTTAATTAGCCTGTACTAAAATTAAGAGAGGGTGTGGGGCGGTGGCGACGGTCTAAAATGTCAGAAATAAGGGTCTTAATACGAAATTCCAGTTATCGTGTTATACATCACTGGAAAGTATGTTTCTATGGCTCTTTGAATCTACCAGTTATTTCCTGGCACATTTCATAATTACGTACTTTAGAGAAAGAAAAGTTCTCCTTGTTTTGTCGAAAGAAACTGTCCGACAGTAACCTAATTGCTAAATATAGACTATACTGTTAATTTATTTTATTTGTCAAAGGCTCGGGTTAACCATACCAACCACATGATTTTATTTCAGGCACGCTCGTCCCGTGAATTTCTTATAGGTTGCCATGTTGATTGCCTCAATATCGTGGGGTAAATATCTTGTGTGTGTGAAGTAGCTTTATTTAACGGCCGCTTCCACCGAGGTGTTATCGCAGACAATGTAAATATCTTATAGTGTGCTGGCTTATAGTGTGCCAGGTTGATATCGGCCTCATTTCCGTATATGTTAAGTCACGTGATATCCTACATTTGCATATCAAACTTGGTGCTCTGCGTAAGATGTTATGTAGAAAGCACGAAGGACAAATGTGATGCGGCAGAACGCAAATATAAAATGTGACGAGGGAAATGTCAAAAGTAGACACGTCAAAAACAGCATTTTCCAATAAAACATTTGACATTTGACACATAGCATTTGACGTTTTACATTTAACTTTGGTCTTCGAGGTAATTTGACTTTATCATTACCGGTATTAAGACTTTGAACATTGTAATTTTTACACGTAATCAATAGAAAAGACATTTTAGCAGAGCATTTAATATTGGCAGCGATATCCTTCCATACATATGGGGTAATGAAGATTGGTATACGCAAGATAATAGTATGCTATGAGGTAATTTTGCTGATCAGCAGCGTTATGGCCTAATCTTATTTCAAATTGCCAAAGGGATTTTTTACTTGAAAGACGACGTGTACACAAGTTTTCGGGCCTGTCCGAATACAAGACATGTTTCCTTGCCAGGCCCTCCATCTTGCACTAGTGAAAACAGGAACCAATGCTGGAAAATCCTGATGTACTTTCTTGACCATGATTGGGTAGGATCGAACCCAGGACACCCTGGTTAGTGGGCCAGTACCTTACTAACTGAACCACCATGGCTCCTGATGTCTGTACCAACCAGGCTGTTGAAGACAGGCATACGTATGGAAGCCGATGGGTAATCTTTAACTCCTTAAGGACCCCACATGCGAAGTCGAGAAGCTGCGAAAAGTGGCCAGTCTAGTTCAATGGTGAGTTCACTTCCCTATGAGGTTTAGTGCAAAGGCAGGAAACAAAGAGTACGAAGCCAAGAAACTTCTTAATTTCGCCTTGTTCATTTCTGTCCTTTGCGCGGTTAATTCATATTAAAGCAAGTCCCAAGAAATAAATAAGGCGAAGCAGAGAAGTGACTGATTAATTCTTGCCTTTGCGCTGAACCTCAGAGGAAAGCTGCGAGATTAGGACCATTTGTCACGGCTTCGTGACTTTACACTTAGTCAACGTGAAGGCAAAGAACGAAGGAATACTTATCCTTACATACGCTGTGTAATGTGCTATGAGGAAATTTTGCCTGTACATCAGTACAGCAACCTACTTTTATTATTTGGAATACCAACTGTTAAGGGGTTTTTATGCGCAACACCAACGGATCTCCTGGTGAGTGAGGCAGCACCTTACTGCCTGAGTGGTAGGATGCAGAATATTTTGTTGGGGTGTGGTGGTGGATCCCCATGTCACCCCAAGCAACAATTTTCTTTTTTACATGTTTCGCAGAAACACAATAATTAGTGAATTGCATAGGGGGTGGGGCTAGGGATCATAGACTACTGCCGGAGTGGCGGGCCCACAATATTTTGTTAGGGGTGGTTCATCTCACTACATACATCAAAACATTAAATTTTACATGTTTCTTTAAAACACAATAGTTTGTGAATTTTATACCGTTATTGGTGAGGGGTTGGGGCTAGGGATCCCACATATGGATCCGCCACTGGTCAAAAGTAGAAATAACATGTAGGCCTACGACAGATCTCACGAATTTACAAAATTTGGCCACAATTTTTATCAGCCAAACCACCAGTATACACATTTTATCATAGTTCCATACATTTATAAAAGATAAATTGTGACTACTTCTGTTCATATTTTACTCTTCAGACTGATTGAACTCGCGTTGCAAGGTTCTATTTATCTTAAAATGTTTCCATATATAGGGAAAAAGGTGTCATTTTGTCTGCATATGTAGTAAATAAACCACTCGTTATCGTTTGTTTACATCGCAATGAATGTCCAAATATGGTTTAAAGAGTAAGCTTTCGCAGTAAAATAATCCGCCAACTGTGAGCGCTAAATAAAAATACTGCGGGGCTAGAACCTCAGAACTATCGATATTTTTATTCAGAATACAGAATTTTTATTCGTCAAAGCAAAGTTCGTTTACAATTCCTGGTGCTGGAGCATAATGGGTTTTTATTTTCTGATAACATTATTTGGTGTCAGCTACATGTACTGGACTATATCTCTTCAGAATATTGGGCTTGGTGCATAAATCATCAGGTATTAAATTATCTTGAAGTTTTTATATAATAAAACTTTATGTGACATTTCAACACATAAAATAAATCCATTTTTATATGCCATGCCGAGTAACAAATTTAACACCCCGGGTATAACTTTTGAATATAGATTTAAAGAGGCATTAATAACAATATATATTTTTATCGTCAACACTGTTTGAGAATTACTAAAATATAAGGCAATAAGCAACATTCCTGAAGCGTTAAAGGGGAGGAATTGGTTGTGTACATTCAATGGGCGTACAAAGCACTTGTCCGTCCACACTTGCTTGTCCGGAGTTATGACCATTTAATTAGCCTAATTTTGCTTGTCCCCACTTTAAAAGTCAAGATTTTTGACAAAACTTTCTCAAACTTTGAATAATGATTCTTATCAGTAGACGACAATTGGGATTGAATATGAGCGCAATCGCGCTGGGAAATAACGTTTTTGATGATTCCTTTTCAAATTCTTAGACAATTTGGATTGAAAAAGAGCGCATTCGCATTTTTCGTTCCGGAGTTATGACCCTTTATGATTGGTGCAATTTTGATAGACCGCTCTCTCCAGGCCATAATTTTTGACAATCTTTTCAAAACCTTAGGATAATGATTCCCATTAGTTAGCGGACGACAATATTGGGATTGAATTTTAGCTGAATGACTCTTTTCATTCCCGAGTTATGGCCCTTTAATTAGCGTAATTTGACTTGTCCGCTCACCAGAGGTGCATCTTTTTCAAACCGTCGGATAATAATTGTCAGCAATCGACAATTGTGATTAAATTTGAGCGGAATACCATTCTGAAGATGCTGCCGCTTTAATTGGCGTAATTTTGTTTTTCCGCGCTGTGAAGGACATTTTTTGGAGATTTCTTTTCAAACCTAAAGGTAAGTGGGATTGAATTCGAGCGCAATCTCATTTTTCGTTCTGGAGTAACGTGGCTTTAATTAGCTTAATTTTTCTGTTCGGCCCCCCAGAGGCCACAATTTTTGACGAATCTTTTGCATCCCTTGAGATAATTATTGTTCTTATAATTAGACTGGAATTGAATTTGAACACAGTCGCCAGGTTTTGCCCCCGAGTTGTGGTCCTGCAGCGTAATTGTGCTTATTCGCTTTCTACAGGCCAAAATGTTTCCTTCTGGATAAACTCGGATGCTGTCTATGGCTATCTTTTATGCAAAATAAAACTGCCGCGTGGACATATTTCCACGCTAAACGTGGCTATCTTCATATAAGCGTCGGGCCGCGATGGCTCAGTGGGTAGCACGCTGGCTTTCTAACCTGGAGGTCCCGTGTTCGATCAGAATTGCACGTCGGAATATTCCGACATAGGATGGGCAAGGGGCAATGTATAGTTGTTCAGTGAGGATAATAAATCAGGGTCCCCTGTGCAACTAGGCGTACGCGTAAAAGAACCCTTGACAGTTGGAATTTAAAATAAGTGTAGACCGTACTGCCCGCTGCCCGGTCAATTATATTTCCCTCATAACAATGTTTAATAAATGTCCGAAGAGCCGCTATCGCGGTGAAACGTTAGCATAAAAATGTAGTTTTATTTCGCCATCTTTAATTTCAATTATATATTACCAAAGAGCAGCTTTAATTAACTATTCTAATATATATATATATAATATATATATATATCAATACAAATTGCCGTATATTGTATTGATCAAGGAAAGGGGTAAAATAAACCCGCTGACCTCTTTAATTAAAAGCTAATTAAAACTAACGGGGATCAAACACTGTCGATGTACAATACATTTAGAAGCAGTGAAGCCGAACTTTCTACTTTGAAAACCTAATTACATTGATATTAATGGTCTAGCCCGTAGTAACATTTATCTATATTTCTGATTAACTCTACAATATTGACTTATAGATATCATATTGATTTGTACAATAATTACAACTGAAAAGAAAAGAGTTCAGGGTTATATACTTTGCTAGACTGGCATTCTTTATTTTTCAGGATATCTAATTCTTTCTAACAATAATATAATTAATTGTCAAAACTTCAAACTAAAACTGTAAAAGACACTTACCCACACAGCTCAATTTCAATACAATTTCTACGTATTTGATATTTTTGTCCGACAATATTATATACCGGAAAACACCTTTTAATACTGAATACCGGAAAACACCGGAAAAACACAAAATACCGGAAAACACATTAAATACCGGAAAATGCCCTAAATAGGTAAACCGTGAGTCTGGTCCTCTGTGTGACTGGGTTAGGGTTAGTTTCCGGTTTATAGTATAGCCCTTCTCCGGGTTACCTATTTAGGGTGTTTTCCGGTATTCAGTATAACTTGATGTTTTTCGGTGTTTTCCGGTATATAGCATAGCCCATTATTGTCTACTATATAAGATGTATAGTGTTTAGCCATCAAGTTAATATTATAATTTTACATAGTATTACTATGTCAAGGAAAATCGGGTACCTCGTACTCTTATCGTTATTTTCACATGTGATTTTACTAGATTTTAACGAATACGTTCATGGGATGGAATATTCTTGGTCTACAGATCATCAGTTATTATTCCCTTAATTAATTAATTAATTAATGGGGATATCATCAGATTGGTTAGCGTCATTCATTTCAAGTACATTTCGATCTAACCCTTATGAAAATTATGCCTTTTCAACATTTATGTTTTGGGCTCGTTGCACATAAATTACCAAGTATTAAATTATCTTGACGTTTTTGTGAGTATATACATGTATATTTAACAGGACATTAATACTGTATGACAATTACTCAAATATAACACAATAGGATGTTAATATTGTAATTAACTAACATTCGTGAAGCGATAAATGGAAAGAAATAAAGGTGTATTTCCACGACGGCGCCGTTACAGAACGTGACCAAAATTAATCCTTCCCACGAAGACGCAGATATGCACTTGTCGGCTTTCGTTTGAAGAGGGCATTTCGTTATTAGGACCCAATTAACGGTGTTAAAGATTTTATGAATTTATGTTCACTAATGATGAAAATCATCATCATATCATCCAAGTATTCAATATGAATCTTATCACCAATTGGCAACTGATGATGAATATCATCATATCATCCAAGTAGTGTTCACATATTCGCTCACTCTCAACTGGATCCAAAAATAACTGAATTTGCCGACTGCGTAACAAGCCAACGAGCGTAGGTGAATATGCTACTCATCATTGGAACCACTACCACACAGAGGAACACAGAACCAACAACATTCTGGAAGGATGGCATTCAAGGATCAAGAAGCTAGTTATTAAAGCTCATCCGAATTTCTTTTTTTAAATGATCGCATTTTTACAACAAGAGCAAAATATTAATGAAATTAGAATCGCACAGCATGCTGGGGGCCAGGAACCACCAAGGAAGAGACATAAATATGCCCAAATCCAAAGCCAGCTCTAGGAATTAACCAGCGGCTGCCAGGCAGGATACGACCACATTTTGCAAGAGATGGATAGGGAACAAGCTAAAAACAAACGGGATTTTTTGTACAATCATGGGCAGTAATCCAGAAAGTTATGGTCTGAAATGCACAATTATCAAATGGGACTGAAATCGTCTTTGCGATATAAAGATATGTTTTAAGTTTCATCAAAATCGGATAAAAATTGTGACCTCTAGAGGGTCCACAACCTTCATATTGCATACTTTTACACAATTTGCGTACAAAGAGCGGCCATTTTGTCAGGCAGTTTCATTTCGGTTTTCCTGAAATTCGAATTCAACCTTCATTACGGTGGAATAGTGATATATTTAAACGGTTTTTTAAATCGGATAAAAATTGTGACCTCTACAGGCACCACAAGCTAAAAACGCGATTTTTCGTACAATCAGGGGACATAATTCAGGAAGTTACGATCTGATATGCGCGAATATCACTAGGAACCAAGATCTTTGGGTTATAATCATGTATTTCAAGTTTCGTCAATCAACCTTGATATATCAGATGCTATAATAATAATGTACATTTGTAATTGCGCTCACTCCATCCATATTACATGCTCAAGATAGTAGTGGAAATGGTATAATATAAGAATCCATAATTAATATTATATGTATTTTTTTACATGTAATCTTTTTCACTAATATTATTTAAATCATTTTGTTGAAGTGTCACAAACTTGTTACACACTATACTTTAAACCCCCTTTGTTGATTAATTAGTCATGACCTGGTGGACACAGACTATAAACAATAGAAGTGGGGAAATTGAGGTGCCCCGCCCACCCACACACTACACCACACCACACTACACCACATAACCAAAGTCCTGTTATATAAGGTTATAATTACAAACATAAACCATTCTAAAGTTTAATTCTATCAAATGATATAAAATCTAATTTCACAATCGAATTATGGTTATAATTGTTTACCATAAAACATCCTAAAGGTTTAATGTTATCAAAGGTTATTAAATTTAATTTCACAGAAACATGTTATAAGTATTATCAACAATCATTCTAAAAGATATTGCTATATTAACAAACAAACAAAATATAATGTTATAATTCTTAATCATTTCACATATACATGTCATGTTATAATTACAAACATAAAATATATTGATATAATTACTAACATAAATCATTTTCATTGATATTTAAGAAACAGAATATATATTTATGTAATTACTAACATAAATCAATTTAACTGGTATTTTAACAAACAAAATATATTGATATTATGCGGAGCTCCTTAAGTGCAGGATTCCACTCTTATATAATTATTTCGTTATGACGATATAATATTAACAAAATGATTTTTCGTTTAAACGAATCAATTATTTTGTAGAAACGAATTAAATTATTTCGTATAAACGAATTAAATTATTTTGTATAAACGAATTAAAGTATTCGTATAAACGTTATATCGTTGTATGGCAGCCGCTGGTTTATTTGTGCATTGTCTTTTCCTTGATTTCGTATTTATCATTCGCTAGGCTCTGTACCACACGACGCATTAGCAATTTCTTTATTTTTCGGTAACCAATTCGTATTTTGAAGAGTGGACATTTTTATTTGGCAAGATGTGGAAGATATAAAATCTTATTTTGTGATTTGTCAGATCCGGTATGATCAAGCCCCGCAAATCCAAAAGGAAGATTGACGTTTATCCGGGGCATTCATATTTACCGCTATTTAGGAACAATATGAACAAGCGGTTGCTATGCAAGATACGCCCACATTTTGCCTGAGATTGACAGGGAACAAGCTAAAACAAAGCAATTGTTCGTACAATCATGGCTCACAATCCAGGAAGTTACGGTCAGATACCCGCTAGTATAGAAAGGATATTGGGATATAAACATACATTTTAAGTTTCATCCAAATCGGATAACAATTCTGTGGCACCATGCAAGAACCGGATTTAAGCTACATGTCGTCAAATTGAGAAAAATGCAACTAAAGTTTGTGGTTTATAATTCCATGTCTATGGTCTCTATATTATGTTTTGTGATTTTAATGTGCACAGAGACATTTTATAAAAATTCTGTGTAATAGTGAGCCTTGTAACTGCAAATTTTATGGAAATTTTGGGCAAATATGAATATCTGAGATTTTTTTTTTTTCAATTTTCCATGCAAGAACCTGATAAGCTACATATTCATAAAAACAAATTGAAGATTTGTAAGCTTTAATCGTTTAAAATACATCAATAATCAACTGAAACAACACCTACAAAATTAAACAAAACAAAAAGCCCACATATGACAGAATTATCAAGTATATGACTTTGACAAGACGGGTTGGGATGCCATGATGAACAACCTTATGTCAGTTTTGGTGCAGTTTAGATCGTGAATTTTGAATTAATCATCACCACCATCAGAAAATTCCTCCACAGAACTCAGTTCCTCTTCATCATGGAGAGTTACGATGGCAGATAATCCATTTCTGAGTTTCTTTGGACTGGTGATGGTTGAAGTTTATGTGAGGTAGAAGTTCCTATATTCAAATGGAATGTAATTAGTCAATTCCTTCAGTTTAGGTGCTGGTATTAGTCTGCGGTGTTCGTAAGCTTGTGGTAATTAAAATAAACTTAACGAACCCTTTCCCATTAACTGGACTTCTCGCCATGTGTCATACTTTAAATGCTGTTGCCTTCTGGATTTGGAATGGGGAACCATCAATGCAATTTTTGCGTGCGTTTAACCTTTCACGAAATGGGGATATATCAATAAAATCCTTCAGGTTCAAACCAACCTTCTTGGGTATAAACAGCTGGAGTTCTCCGTTTCTTATTTTCAATGACGCCAAAACTTCTATCACAAGGTAAAAATTTATGACCAGGAACGGGAAATTTGTGTATTTCGCAGTTTAAACACTTTTAAAGCATGGTAATATATGTAGCTTATCACATTTCTGTTCTTATTCTGTCCCCTACAAGAATCCGATCATACCACTAAAGTCCCTTGTAGAGATTCTGCATTCAAGAATCCTTTTTTTTTTTTGCCCAAGTATGTATTAATACAAGATATCACTTTTGTTGAGCCACGACCCGCAATGTCCTCAGACCACATCATCATCGGGCTCCTTTGCCATTTTCACCAAGATTATATGCCCACAGTTGTCTTGAATAGAAGGAAACACTGGTATTAATATGTGGTGTTGGCAGAGCCTGCTGCAAGTCAAAGGCAATGACATACTCAGAAGAATCAAAATCATTTTTTCATCATTTGGTGCCCAGTCTCAGCTTTTTTTTAGATGAAGCTCTCTTTGGGTCTTCAGTGCAGCTACCTCTTCTTCGGATCCCATACCATCAATCTGCATTCTGAATTTGTCGCAGGTTTTACATGTATCGAGGCTGGGATGACCAAAGTGATAGTTTAATTCTTCTGTGAAAATAACCTGAAAACTTCTGAGTGATACGGGCTCTTGTGCCAAATTGAAACAATTTTCAATGTACATCTGGTGAAGTTTCTTAATTGTTAATTGTGGAGATAAATTCTGTCTGAATGAGAGAGAGGGAGAGAGAAATGGGGTTTAACGTCCACTCGACACAAACTAGGTCATTTCCGGACTAACATATGGTTTAATTTTATTTCAATAATATTCCTTGTCACGTACAACCGGGGATTCGAAACCACGCCAGTTGACTAAATGACGGGCTTTATGATACAGCGCGCACGTGCTATCCATTCGGCCATCTACACCTGTCGCTTCAAGCGTAACTGTCTTGATAATGCAGTCTGAACTGGAATTTGTGTCGTTGCCAGATGGGCACCAGCTTTCTCCACTGTCATTTACATCACTTTCGTTGGATTCATCTGCAAACAAAATGAATAAATGCTTGAATGAATGAATTACGGAATGATGGGTGAATAAATAAATGAATTGATAGATTGGTAAATGAATGAATAACTGAGTTGATGGGTGGATGAATGAGAGAGGTGAAATGGAGTATAACTGATAACTTGTTTTGTGCTAGAACTATTCATTAGTTGTCTGAATTGTGTGAAGAGTTATCTTATATATTTGGAGTTGTTTCCTTCCAAAAGTTCTAAGGGGACAGGCTTTGATTGTTGTTATGGAGAGTCGTTTCATGAAAGTGTGTTGACAATACAAAACGTCTTAATTATTGAGTTATTATGATGTCCACTTGACACAAAATATGTCGTTTCGAGCCAAACTTACGGTACAATTTTATTCCAATCATTTGCATGTGTGTAGGGGTCTTTACAGTGGGAGGAAACCGGAGGACCAGGCGAAAATCCACAAGGTTGGGTTGTCGAACCTACTCATTTTCACGTTCAAGCTTGGGATTGAAACCACGGCACTTGACTCAATGACAGACATTATGATCTAAACGCACGCGTTACGCCGCTTCCCCAGATAGGCGAATGACTGAATGTATGGGGTATTGCAAAAAAAAATAATCATGAATAAATAATTTCTAAAAAAACATTTTTCCCAACCACAACATTTTGTCAGTCCTGCATGAACTCGATTCCATACATTTTCGACTCAATGAAAGTGCCAATATTAATTAATCACAAAAATTAAAAAAATTAATCAGAAACATATTGATAACATTAAAAAGGACGAAAAGACCCACCTTCCAAGATAAACTCTCTAACTTGATGACATGTTAGTCTTTTAGCTCTAGATGTAACAGGGGTGCTTGCTCCTTCGGCCATGCTTAGTTTTGTCTATTGAACTTGGGTTTGACCTGTGGGTTATTAGGTTCTTGCATGGAAACGTTGGCACACAAATCAAATCTTATGAGGCTTATCAGGTTCTTGCATGGAATATGCTTATTTTTATATCAGGTTAAAACTATTATAGACTTGGTTATCATGTCAAATATATTCAGTGTCTTCATGATTACAGTCAAGATAGATACTACCAATTTACCTTCAATGACACCCTTATCTCAATTTTGGGGGAATTGTGGGTTATCAGGTTCTTGCATGCTGCCACAGAATTGTGACCTGTAGAGTGTCCACAAGCTAAAAACATGATTGTTAGGTCCGATACATCCCAATTTCGAAAAGAACTGTGATCGTCGAGATATAAACCAATATTTCAAATTTAGTCAAAATCGGATAACAATTGTTATCTGTAGAGTGTCCACAAACAAATTAATTGTGGACGGACGGACGTTCGAATTGACCGAGGTGACGACAATATACGTTCACGTGAAAATGTGGGATTATATAAATCAGCCGGTTCAGGGACGTTTGAGCCGCCATTTCATATTCCCGCCATCTTGGATTATGGAAAATTCGGCGACAACAAAAACTATCTAATTACATCTTAAACTATCATCTTAAACATAAATCATAGTAATAGTTACATTGAAATTTTCACGTTTTCATAATTCAATATAGAACAAGCAGGTTGTTTGTTTCTACCCTTTTTCGGTGCCAATGAAGTGTAGTTACCCTCCTGACCATTGACCCTGGTTGATAAAGTAGTATAGTGACTTTCATCATTATCATTCCGGTTCAACGAATTAATAGTAGCTACATTGACATAGTATCCAGTTTCTGATGTTGACGAGGCGTTATTTGTGTTTTGTGGATCAGAAGTGGGTTTTAGCGATTTCTTTCCCCGTCGTCTTCTCACAAGCCTTATTATACACCTATAATGAGAAATAATTCTATTTAAGATCTGACAATTTTATATTAGGATGTGTTTCACTGTCATTTTCCCGATTCATCTAGTTCAATATCGAATCCAATCTCCAGATGCTGCAGGGTATGATAGTGTACAACCTTGGATCCAAAGATGAACAAACCCATAGCACAAATCTTGAATGTAAATAAAGGAATCCATATTCGGATACAATCTATCAAACACGCCACAGGGTCATGTATCTATTCAACAATAACAGAAGAAAGGGAAAAAAATTATTTCTAGTATTAATGATCAGTATCCATGATATAACCTATAGCTACCATCCCTTGTATAAAAATAAATAGTCTTAGCTGTTTCAATTGAGACAATAAAGACAATCAAAACATGTAACTTACGTTAATCTGTAAAAAGAATATAATATAAAGCACAATCTAACCAACATTACATAATATACGCTTTAATCTGAATAATATTTTAACGGAATAACTTGCTTCGATTAACTGAACTTGTGCTGAATCTAGGGATAGTACAAGATATCTGTAATTCACAGACGCAATGTCCCGTAATAAGATAATCATGGACAACACCCTGTGCAAAAGAAAAACTTGGATGATGACAAAAAAGGATGTTATCAGAAATCTGATTTATATCGTGATATATCTCTGGAACAAAAAGTCACAGAATTTTGAAATCACCATATAATACAGTTTTCATTATGTCCAATCCCAATGCACCAAATTCACACAGGATGGCTGGAACGGAATGTCTCTGAACGATGAATATCAATGAGATTCGTTATGAACATAATGTTCTAAGCCAAATGTGAACACAATCGGTTAAAATTTCTAGCTTCCATCGCATTTAGAAGACATTCGGAATGGAAGACTTCGGAACGCTGAATATGAAGACTAGTCGGAACATCGCTTGGTAATAACCATAAATAGAGGAATAATAAACATAATATTATCACAAATTTATTATAATCAAAAAAAAATACAAATAATAATTATATATAATTTTTTTAATGTCCCGCCATTATAGGTTTACTTTTCTGCCCCAACTGGGTAAATGAAAACGGACATTGTGCTATTAGAGATTTTTTCCCCTGCACAGCATTTGAATTCCAACAGTTACGGCGTTCTTAAACATTCATGCAAATGTGTACTAGAGAGTAATAGAAATATACAATCTTACCAAATAGCACCTACTATGACTACCAATAAACACACACCAAATAAAATCCAAGGTAATATATTCACACGGGTCCCTATAAAATATACACAGTTATTACATACTAATATTGATATACTTACAAAAATATATACATGGTCATTTAATACTAATATTGGTATACTAGAAAAAAAAACACAGTTATTACATACCTTAACAAATGTATCCTTATTTAATTCATTTTAATATTGATAAATTAAAAAGAAAATACACAGTAATTTATAATAATGGTGATATATTAAACCATAAACAAACTACATATACTAATTAATTCCATATTACTATTGGCATACTATAAAATACCGATATATATACTAATATTGATATACTAGAAACTGTTCACAGTAATTTTTAATAATGGTAATATTTTACCGTAAAAATATATAAGTGATTCTATATAACTTAATGGCATACCAAATAGAATTACATATTAATATTGATATACTATATAAACAGTAATTACATATTAAAATACGATGTAATATACAATAGTTACATGCTAATATTGATATACTATAAAATTCGAAATTTATAATAATATTGATATACTATAAAATTCGAAATTTATAATAATATTGATAAACTATACAATATACATAGTAATTACACATTGATATACCATAAAATATGTAATGCAAAAAATATTAATATACTATAAAATATACACGGCGTATTCATGCTACTATTTACATTCTATTAAAGATATACACAATAAGTATTGTTGACATACTACATAATATGCACAATAATTGCATATCAATATTAATATACTATAACATATACATAGTAACTCTTAATCATATCATCATAATACAAAATATATACAGTAATTGTCACACCAATATTGATTTACTAATAAATATACACTGTAACATCTACTGATATCCTATAAAAGTATACGCAATCAATCTACACTACTATTGCTATATCTTACGAGTAATGCTATAGAATTAAAATACATCGGTTATACGCGACCAGGAACATAGTCAATAATGTATAAACATTTGCAGGTAATGATCTGGACCAAAAAACTCCAGTCTCCGGAAAGTCTTTTAGACTATTCGGTGCCTTTAAATCTAATTTAAAGAATCACTGTTTAATAAGCATTATGAGTGTTAAGATTCAATATGGTTTTGTGTCGAATACTTGTGGTAGCAAGGACCAAGCACACAGAGCATACTAATAGTGACTTCCTTCCGTCCTATAATAAAGTTTACATTAGTTGTTTCCCTTGTACCGATTATCATAGACATCGCTAAGTTGTCTAATCTAATTTTTAAAACATATATACCTGGGCATTTCTGTTGATTACAATTGATGGCGTCAGAAACATGGCCCTCACAGTAAGCTCCACCATTAGTTGGAGTAGGATTGTTACAATGTCGGAACCGTGTTCTAATTCCCTGACCACATGTAACCGAACAACTGGTGTAGGACCACTTACTCCATCCGCCATTCACTAGCTCTGCAATGATAACATAAACTCACCCACTCAGCTCTACCATGTTAAATCCTGCCATTTGTTTAAAGGATACCTTCCATACAGTTATCGTTATATAATTAAAGGAATTAATTGTGGAAGAATTGTCAATTTGTGTGCTGTATAAATAATATGTTTAAGGGAGTGTCCATATGTACGCAAGAGTCTATAATTAATTTTAATTTCAAGAATTTAACGGTTTTGAGAAAATGCCTATCAGTTTCAGGTTTTTGTAGTCTCGTACTAAAAATGTCATACGAGGTTTTCTGTGATTTTGAATTGCCATTTATTATATCAGTCCAGCCAAAGTCCGACACAGTGGCTGCTTTCTGGATAACGATGCATATTATCACTATTATTAAATATCAGATATACCTTCTTCCAGTTACTACTGATATTTAAATACATACCAGGACATTCCTCTAGGTTACAATCAATGTTCCCGGAACCTTTACCAATACAACCAGTTCCACCATTAGCAGGTGTAGGATTATTACAATGTCTGAACCGTGTTCTAGTTCCCTGACCACATGTGACAGAACATCTGGTATTTGACCACGTACTCCATCCACCGTTAACTTTAACTGTAATATTAATGTGTCGACATATGCCATCAAAATCATGCAGTATCATTATTAACATATATATCTTTGTAAATAATGTATGTGTATTCCAAAAAGTAGATTTGGAGGTGTAACAAACTTAACGTGGTTTAAAATGAAATATCAGTTGTTCAATGTGCTGATCGCTTTTTAATAAAACGATGGAACCCGTCGACTGCGAATACCGTCAGGGAGATAAGCAATAAAACATATTTTATACCTCCATGTGGATGTATTTTGTCTTTACTTCTCTATAGTCAGTGTACAATATATACTCTTCAAAAAAGTAGGGGATATTGAAATGCAAATACCTATGCAGGTTGTGATATGATAAATAGTCATGGACACTTGACATGTTTTGAGAGTATGCTCACAGATGGAGAACTTATCGCGCAAACAGAACCGCTGAGCTGCAAGTGTGACACGCAATAGCGCCATACACGTGGGAGGGGTTCATTGTCATATTTGACATTTCGAGGAAGGGTTGATGAAAACTGCCATGTGCTGGTTAATCCTATCTATGTTTGCTTCCCTATCGGTTCTTGAATAAGATTTCCTGTTTAGAGTATCTTTGCTTTAGTGTGTTACGTTTCATTTGCAATGAGGCGTCTTCAACATGATGAACGTCTACGTGCTATTGGCATGCTTTAAATGGGTTCTACACAGCGAGCAGTAGCCAATATGCTTAATGTGTCACAGTTATTGCATAAGATTTACTGTTTAGAGTATCTTTTCTTTAGTGTGTTACGTTTAATTTGCAATGAGGCGTCTTCAACACGATGAACATCTATGTGCTATTGGCATGCTTCAAATGGGTTCTACACAACGAACAGTAGCCAATATGCTTAATGTGTCACAGTCTGTAATCATGTAAGAACAACAAAGGTAAAGAACACGACTTCACCAGGACAATGTCGACAATGACTAGTTTTGCTATGGCAAATTAACAGTAGTCATACCCGAATTTACTATTGTATATTATTTCGTGCATCAATTTCAAATCAAACCAGAAATGAAATATAAATTATGTTGTGTCCTTTGTGGACACCCCCACTTGTTTATAAACAATCTAATTCTTTGAATGTAGTTTTCAGTATCGGTGTCTAGCTCAATGTCGGTCATACAACAATATTTCATGGTTTACAAAAGCATTTTAGCTGCACAAATACTCAACAACGTTCATAATATATATCCCGCCTACAAATTAAAATTCATGTCGCTTCAGCATTCTGGGTTAGTGCCGGTAATACTACATCATATCCATACATTTTAAAGGTTAACGATCATCTTTGTAGCATGCATGCGTCAAAGAAACTACTTCTTATACAAAATTCAACGTATTTCTATTACACAATACAAACCAGGACAAGATGGTTGAGTACACGTCACACTTTCTGTAATATCACCGATGCAGTTGTTTCCACCGTTCACGGGTGTAGGATTATTACAATGTCTGAACTTTTTCCTAGTTCCGCGACCACATGTAACAGAGCAGGGCGTGCTTGACCACGTACTCCACCCACCATCAACCAGTACTGAAATAATTGTTTACAAGGTGTAATTGCTTTATTATCAGACACCATCAACTATGAACAGCTATATGTATATCAGGAAATATAAAATCATCCTGAGTTGTCAATTTTGAAAATTAACCCATTGTCTGCGCACGCCCAATCTACATTAAATGTATATCTCAGTGCATGCATTTAATACAAACCCGTTACTCATGCTTAATAGCATTGGAGATTAAACTAAAATTCCTAAACTAAAATTGTGTACGTAATTTACTTATTTTATTTTTTTTTTCAATATTAATGTGGTTCAAGCAACGACTTCGGCTTTCAGAAAAAATAGTCCAATGACAGACCCAATTCGAGGAAGACCTTTTAAAACGAAACCTGTCTACATCGCTATTTTTGTAATCTGACGAAACATGATTTAATGATAAAGTTGATATTTAAATAACGGTCGTTAAAATTAATTCCAAAATGATGCCTATCAAGCTGTGATCATGAGTAGACTTACAAGATCAATGAACATACTGAATGTTAGAAGGGAGTAAGTATACAATGTAACTCATCAGTTGTATATTAAACCATCAGAAATAAATTATTTACCTGGGTTACTACAATCACATGACACTCGCACATACTTATATTTTAAACCTAAAATTATATGATGACATAATACATGAATCAGTGTAAGCCTTGTTTTCGGTTGTTAGAGCACCAAGCAGCTTTGAGGCAACGCAACGATGCTACCAAAAGAGCGACTAGAGTGTATGCGTACAGGGCATTTGTACACTTCGATTCCGGGAATATCACGGCTAATTTATGTGAACCGTCATAAATTTCAACCGGATTTCTTCGACCGTGAACAAACTACTTAAAGGACAATATTGGTGTCAGATTAAATAAGAGAACACGAGAAAAATAGAAATAGTCCGTACATTTCCTTGTTTTTATTATTCTATACTTGTTAAAACATGGTAATGCACGGACGTTTTCTATTTTTCTTTCGCGTTCTCTTATCCAATGACAGTCAATTCTTTTTATGAATATCGTCTCACAGTCTCACTCAACAACTTTTGGTCTTCGAATGAATTATTAGTAAACAGAAATTCGCCCATGTATCTGTTATCACTCGTCACTTCAGTCAGTTATACAGAGGGATAACTCATGGTTTCCTTTTGCGTTGGCCACTTCCGATTGTTGAAACCATTTATTACGCATCTATCGTAGCAATGATCCATGTGTTAAAATTATATTTGGAACGTGTTTGACCAGTTCTATCACATGTGATAATGACTGACATCAATATTGTCCTTTAATAATGGTTAGGGCGTGTCTATCGAAACCGTGTGTGGCTCTAAGCTATTAGTCTCGGCTAGTTATTGATTGGTTATCTACGTTATTTTGTTTCCATATTTGCCTTAGTAAAACCTGGAATAGCAGGAATATTGTCAGCTACCTTTCGGGGACTCTGCTTAGGCTAAATAGCGATACTCGATTTGATAGATCAAGACTTTAGAACATTACAACTCTGCTTTAAATTTCCTGTCTTCATTAGCCCAGTTGGAGCAGAAAAATAGTACGTTAAACCCCATTTCATTTCATTTCATTTCTGCTTTTAATAGAGGAATAATTTAGTGTAGGTATATAAGGTAAATGTCTTGAATGAATTTAATGATTTAACTATTTTCGCTACGGCTAAGCAGAGCTACGCAATGCCATTGGTCGATACTTTGGGACAGAAATCTTTGAATCTAATAGATTTTTGTAGTCAATATCCCGCCGACCACAATCTGAACAACCGAACTCCTAAGTGACTGTGCCACAATTTGGTTGAAAACCTCTCCACGAGCCAATGCGGCGATGCGACTACCCAAGGGATGTGGCAGAACTTTCTACGATTGCTTCTGATTTCCTATTGTAACCAACAATATGTTGCCTAATGAAAGTTGTTTTATCTCTCAGCGTGAAGGAGACTTCATTGTGTGACAACTAAGACGGCATCACGTAAAGGTCCCCGAGTGCCCTTAGCGCGAGTTCCCAATTGAGCCACCAATAACTACTTTCGCTGTGTACAGTCGGCCGAGCCGGTCAAACCTGGTATTGGAACACTAATAACTACGAGCGTACCTTTGTTGAATTATAATGCACATTCAAATAACATCATTAGTGTTAGATGTATAATTGGTGAACTTTATACTGAGACGGTCTCCTGCATAATAGGCATAATTATAATGCACTTACCTCTGGAAAACCACATCCAAATAACATCATTAGTGGTAGATGTATAATTGGTGAACTTTATACTGAGACGGTCTCCTCCATAATGGGCATATTGTCTAAAATAATAACCACCAGTACACAGCGAAAAAGAATTGTCGTCTACTGTAATTGTAACACTGTTACATGATTCACCACTCAAGTATACGTGATTCGTGTAAAGCCAATGTATACCAGTTATATTGCATGAACATGTTAAACCACTTGCTGGAGTAAGTTTATCCGAGAAATACAGGTGTCTTGTATCTGTTGTGAAGGTAGTGGTATTCGTAATGTATGTAATTGCAGACTCTGTAAAATATGTAATTTGCAATATGCTTTATATCTGCGATTTTAATCCAGTGATAAGTCATGAAAATTAAAACGTATGAAACTTCTTATTTGTGCTTATACTACTTAAATGGAACCAGAATAATTATGTTAATTCTAGTTCACTACAAAAATATACAGATACTGTAATACAAATCCTGTACTTCACAATGATAACAAATACTTGTTCTGCAATAACTATAGTTTATTACTACATGTAGTTTACTTACCAAACAGACAGTAAAATCTATACCGAATATAATCATAGCCAGTGGTTGAACTGTAAGGAGAATTGAAGCTACATGATTGTTGAAAAGAACACTTTTTATAAACTGATAAACTATCTTGCTGATTTAATCTTGTAGACTTATCACCACTTCCATATTTACAGCATACACTGGTTTTACAATCATCTTCATCTTGTAGAAAGGGGCAGGTGACAGTAGATGGTTTTGTGTAGTAATACAGGTTGTAGAAATATATATGATATCCTTTATTACATGTTATAGTATTATTAGAACACGTGGATCCTGGTGGTCTGTAACATCCATATATATCCCCGTCTACGACTGTAATAAAGTAATACGTTCTTAATCTTGTATGCATATATTAATAGCATTTCCAAATAGATGAACACTTCTAAGACAAATTGAACGTTAGTCCAATATGGAGGATAATATAGTTTTTTAACAGAAATTTGAACAGCGATGTTCGTTCGTTTGTTAGTAGGGTTTAACTTCGGCTTCCAATCGCGTTTTAGTCTTGTTGCCCCTCTAAGAACAGAAATTTGAACAGCGATGTTCGTTTGTTAGTAGAGTTTAACTTCGGCTTCCATCGAAGGTGATAACTCTTTTATATCTTTAAACACCGCCATTCTTTCTATAAACAAAGTCTAAATAGTTACTGTGGCCAACATAACAGTAAAACCCTTCTACTATATCTACATGTACAACGATTCTTTTGTTGTATTATGCCACCTATTATGTCATTTCGTCTGTCCCGGATTGGTTCACTTATTGTATCTACGGGCTATAACATTATTGCCCCTGGTGGTATGAATAATCGCGTTTTAGTCTTGTGGCCCCTCTAAGGTCACAATTTGTCTTCGATTTTAAACACCATTCAAATGTATGTTCATTACACACCAATCGCGGATGAGTTAAATGGGCCCTATCTTTTACGCCAATAGTAACAAAGCATGTAATACATATCCAAGGCTGTGGACCCTTAGATGAAAAATTTGCTATGGGTCAAAAGATCTTCGATGAGTTCGATTATGGTGCAAATCAGACCTTCCGTTTTGGAATTATGTTCCATTCCTTTTACTCAAAATGTGAAATATGTACAAAGTTTATAGACCCTCTATTGGCCATTTTGTCCGATTCAGGGTCCATTAGTCGAGTAAAGATAAGCCATATGGTGTGGATACCTAGAACAAATTGCAACCGAATTTTTCTTGATGGAATCTGGTAGAGGGGTCCCTGAAGGTCTCCCAAACAAAAATCGCCCAAAATAAAAAGATAGGTTTTCGAGTAATTAGCATAAATCCAATATGGCCGACATTGGCACCTTAAAACTCCAATATCTCGGAAAAAGTTGAGTTTGGAGGGTGTAAATGTATTACGGGTAGATAGGAAAGTAGTACAGATGGCTCAGAAAAACAAAGCGAAATGGCGTACTTGTGACGTCACACGGCCAACAATTTGCATAAATCCAATATGGCCGCCATTGAAACTTTAAACTCCGATATCTCGGGAATCGTTATGTTTGGAGGATGTAAATGTATTACGAGTAGATAGGAAAGTGCTACCAAAGAACTAGAAAAAAACTATGCCAGGCAACTTCCTTGTGACGTCATGACGTCATACGGCCAAAAATTAGCATAAATCCAATATAGCCGCCATTGGCACCTTAAAACTCCAATATCTCGGGAATGGATGAGCTTGGAGGGTATACATGTATTACGGGTAGATAGGAAAGTGCTTCCAAAGAATCAGAAAAACATTGCCATATTACGCCACCGGGAAGTCGTAACCAAAGCCGTATATAGTTAAATTTGCGACAACTGTGAAGCCAGGAATTTCATATGACGTCATGCAAATATGACGTCAAGTGGACAAAGACGCCATCTTGAGTCCCAAGGTATCTCTACCAACTCACTATCTATTTATATGCCCCATTATATTGTTGGATGTCCCGACCAACTGGGATGTCACGTGGATAGATATGTCATAGATTTCAGCGAATAAGTGTCTATAGGAGATAAAACATACATTTTTTAAACGAGAAGTATAGCTGAACATACTATTATTAGTATTATACAACAAAAAGCGCACATTATTGTTATAAAAGATATACTAGATAAAAGCGCTATTAAACATATTTAACTTGCATTCGCCATACCGCTACTATTTGGGACCAAGAAATTGTCACAATTGGGTCGCACTTACCGCGACATGTGTTTCGGGCATATTTGTTTCATCAGTGACACGTCTGGTGTCATATGACTGCAACGACAACAGCCTGATTTTTTATTTGTTTCAGATGTCTTCATTAAAATGGACCACTTTCATGCTGCCATATTCACGGCTTGAAATTTCCATAAATTTTCTGGGGGAGACATGCCCCAACAAATCCCCCCGACGGTGTGTTTTACGACTTCGGCACTCGACGGTGACCTATAAAAGACGTGGAAAACCATTTAAGACATAGTTAAAGAAATATCTTAAAAGATTATCCCTGTTTTTGTCGGAAAAATTCCATTTTAAATTTGACAGTCATTTTGAAAGAAATGCCCGGCGCCATACATGTATAAAATACATTTTTTGATTTTTGTCAAATTCGTTTTTCGGCATAGTTCGCCTCTATGGCCACTTTGTATTTGAAAAATTTAAAAAGTAATAATTTATTCCCCCACCATTAAAACACACTGATTACGAAATATCGCTCTCCGGAACTTCCTGGTTTCTTTTGCAATTTGTTTGAGGTAAGACGTTATCACTCCCCGCCTATGTATAAATAATACCAATCTGTCTACCACACAAATTTAAGAGATACAAATGCATGTTATTCCACAGGAGGACAGACAGCAGGGCCCCTTTAAAGGGACTCAGTGAAGGGAACGCAGTTGGTTTAGAGTTTGTCTGACCCCTTTGAATATTTGCGCCCCATCTCCAATGCTCTGATGCTGTTCTCAACCGGAATCAAACATCTGAGATTTGTTAGCATGTTCCACACAACCCAACATTTATCGGCACCGGGATTAAGGGTATATATCTTTATTTCTAACGCTTATTGGGAATACGTCACGGAAACTACAATAAAAACTTGTTTACAAAAACATTCTAAAGAGTAAAAACTGACATATTTCAATCTTTACTGTATTTAAAGAAATAATTTAAATCAGCCGGCTGAAACCCCGTCTCCGCTATTTGTTCATTCTTTAAGTATACAGTGCCAGTTTCCACCAAAAATGATATCGCAAACAAGGATTCAATCTATAAAAGCATACATTCCTACAAAATGTTTCTTTAGTCAAGTGAAACAAGAAAATTCATAACTATGCGAGGGTGGGGTGAGTAAATTCGTGGTAACAAGTCGGAATAGGCTAATTGGACAATAGAGCAAGTTCACCTTGATGTTGACAAATATGTAAGACGATATGAACATCAACTAAAAAAGATATATAATGTGATTCAGCTAGCTGCAAGGTGATATATGCGCATTTGCAGCATAGATAATTAAAATCTCTATTCAAGTTAAACCAACTGTATCTATTTATATTTAAGTCTTACGTCGAGCTGAATAAATTTTATGATTTACTAGCAGGATACCCGGCTTCGCTCGGGGGTCATAACTCCGAAACCGGAAGTGGTAGACTAACGCCACCTGGCCTATGTTACTCCCCGGTCCGAGATACCCCTATACCCCAAATTTCAGACTCGGGGCAGACCTATTGTAGCCGCCAACCCCGAACAGACCGGCTTCGCTCGGGGGTTCATAACTCCGAAACCGGAAGTGGTAGACTAACGCCACCTGGCCTATGTTACTTCCCGGTCCGAGCTACTCCTATACCCTAGTGTAGCCGCCAACCCCGAACAGACCGGCTTCGCTCGGGGGTCATAACTCCGGAACCGGAAGTGGTAGACTAACGCCACCTAGTCTATGTTACTCCCCGGTCCGAGCTACCCCTATACCCTAAAATTTCAGACTCGGGCCAGACCTAGTGTAGCCGCCAACCCCGAACAGACCGGCTTCGCTCGGGGGTCATAACTCCGGAACCGGAAGTGGTAGACTAACGCCACCTGGCCTATGCTACTCCCCGGTCCGAGCTACCCCTATACCCCAAATTTCAGACCTAGTGTAGCCGCCAACCCCGAACAGACAGACAGACAGACAGACAGACAAACGACAGTCACAAATATATATATATAGATAGATATAGAAGAAGATTGTCATTAAAACATCTATTGGTGGTCTGCAGTGTGTAACTAAACACTAAAATTGGATATTTATTATTGCCAATGATATAATGTACCTTGACTTTTCTACACGAAGTCTATCGTATCCAGATGTTTAAAGCGCAATTACAACATATTCATTTTTTATTTCGGGATTGATATATCGTAAAATGCATCTTCATTTGACGAACTACATCCAAGCTACACTGTAAACACGGTTTGGAGACTGCTAAAATCCAAAAAGAAAAATGACGATTAATTTAATATCCGCCGATTTGTGTTGCTGCCATTTTGTATTTTCAAAATTTATCTTCAAATTCAAAGACATCGAAAACCATATAAAAGACATAGCAAAGGTCATATCTTACGAGATGCCCTTGTATTGCCAAATTTATGGGGTTTTTTGTTAAATGACATTATATTACCAAATTCGGCAGCCATTTAAAAAAAAAGTGCCCGGCACCATATGAAAAATACATTTCTTTAATTGATGTTTGTCAAATTCGATTTTTCCGCACATTTCGCGTACATAACCACGATATAATGGCCGAACATTACATACATCAGATAAACTACCTTTAAAGTCCAAAAATGTCCAACTAGTCTCTTATGGTCAGCACCCTTTTAGTTATCAAGCACCTGTTTTATGGAATAATCTACCATTTAGTTTAAGATGTTGTACATCTCTATATTCTTTTTTAAAAAGCAACTTAAAACACATTTATTTAATCAGGCTTTTAACTGACTCTGTATACAATCGTTAACATGTCCATAATCGTGTCTTTTTCATTTATGATTACACTGTAACTGTGTAAAGTGTCCCTGAACATGTTATATGAAAGGGCGCACTATAAATATGCTGTAATAATAATCATAATAATAATAATAATAATACCAAATTTGGCAGCCATTATGAAGGAAACGCCCGGCACCATATAAAAAATACATTTTTTAAATTGATGTTTGTCAAATTCGATTTTTCGGCACATTTCGCTTGCATAAGCACTCTGTGTTTAAGGAATTTAAAAAGAAATCATTTATAATCCAACGAGTAAATAGTAAAACATGGCGCCTGGAAATGAGTTGTCGTAACTTTCCCTATATAGGGC